CACTCCCAAGTCTTTCTCCTTGTTGCCGGTCTCAATTACTTCCCAACCTGTAGGTGTGCCTGGGATTGCCATGGCCCAGAAGTAGGACCTTGCACTTCATTTTATTGAATTTCATGAGGTTTGTATTATTCCACCTCTGAAGACTGTCAAGGTCCCTCTGGATGGCCCCAGTGACCTGCTAAGGACTGATCTGCAGGACAGACAAGAGGACATAAGGGTAGCAGGCAAGGTACAGGCAAATACCCATAGGAAGCTGTAGCTTCAGTGCCCTTCCCATCATGGGCACTGGCATTTGCCATGATTACAGTGCTGACTCTGCCTCTGTCCTCATGGCTTCTCTGGGCTTGTCTGGTTCTGTGGGTGGTTTCACACTGCAGACTTCTTGGGGTCAGACCACATGTCTCTGCTGTATCTTGTCTGCACAAATTGCACTGGACGTTGTCATGGCTTCCTGCTAACTGTTTTGATCTTAGGTTAGAAGCTTTTTAAACTAAATATCGTCTTAATCAATTATTTCCATCCCTGACAAAACAGCTGTGTAAGTTGACAGGAGCCAGGAAATAGCAGCCTCACAGCTAATAACGTGGGCTCCTGGTGCTTCCCGCTGTGTTTTAGCAGGAGGTTGTCCATCTGAAGCCACTCTGCTTCTGCACCACTCCATTCCCTGCATCCCTGCTATTAACCCAGCATCCATGTGGGCTGTGCTCTTGAATCATCAACCTGGTCTCAGCACACAGGGACTCTTTATAATCGTTACAGCCTTTTGACATGACATCAGTATTTTAGAGGGACCTGTGGGGCCTTTTGCAACATTTTATGTAACTCCTCATAAACAGAGTTAGTGTCTAGGAGCAGTGCTGGCTGATGTGCTGGGGAGCAGGTTTGTGAAAGGAAATATGGGCAGTGCAGTGCTCTTTCCTCACAGTTACAAGGGCACTGGGAGCATCCCACATGCAAACAGCAATTATTTAGTCAGGTTGCACCTTATATGCAGGTGGGGGAGATAGAAGGTGGGAGAATGATTCTAGCTGTGGTCAGGTGTTTGTTTTGAGTAAATGCAGGTAACATCTCTACTGTGCTGCTACTGATTTTGTAGTCAGTCTTTGTAAGGTCACAGCCAATGTCATAGTAAGAATTTGGGCTGTGCTTTCTGGGCTGCAGCCACCCTGGATGTAATGCAGTTGTGTTCCTGTTGTTCTCTGGCTAAAAATCTGCATGTTGACAGTTTATTTCCCAGACCTATTTTTATTTTGGGATTTTTTTTTCCCCTCGCTGTGACTGTCAGTGTTTTGAAGGCTACTCTGCTGATGCTGGTCTCAGCACTTTGTACTTGGATGCTGTTTTCTTCTGGATGCTCAAGGCTGGATGATGGATTTGTTCTTTCACCCTGCTCCTCATAACCCACTAAAGGCAGAGCTGGTAGCACTGGGTAGCAGTGCTACAGCCAGAAGGAGCAAGTGGGGAAATGCAGTGTGGTCTGGCGAGAGGAATAAGGAGAACTGCCAGCTTTTGTAAGGAGGGCTGCAGTTTGCTTTGTGTTGTCATCCTCCTCCTACTCCTTTTGTTTCAGGCTCTTCACCGAAGTAAAGCAAAAAGCGTTAGGGGATGGTGAGACTCTCCCTATTGTAAGTGGTTTAGCTTCTGTAAAAAGGAAAAGAACAACTGAAGCCCCAATGAAATAAAAGCAGAATGAGAACTGGGACTCTGGTTTTAGTTCCCAGGTTCGTCACCAATTTACTCTCTCTGTCACTGGGAATTGCACTTGTAAGTGGTACAGTTCTTTTATCTGAAATCCAGCTGTCCAGAATCTGATCCTTGTGAAGTCTAGCACCTAAGTGCTTCTAAACACCATCCTGCTTTCTAACTACTTGTATATATGTATGGTGAAAGCGCAAAATTTGGCAGCCAGGTTGAAATGTGGATAGACTTCCAAAGCTAGTTAATACCAGTTGGCCTTGGGAAATCACTTCTGTTGGCTTTCAATCTTCCAGCCTAAATTATTCCATCAGAAATTAATTTTGTTGACTGTACTTGTCTCATTAATAGTTGGCTCTCTACCTCAGTTTACACAGCTGTAATGAGTAATCATGAGTTTCCTATCTAGGTACAGCTCAGAAATGAGCACCACAGGCATGATTTTGCATGCTCAGAGTTATATACTGATCTTGGAGAGTGTTCATGGGACCCTAGCTCTAGCCCAGTTCCTCTAGGAACATGCTGGAGGTGGTAGCATAAAGGGGGGTTCCATAGCTGGAGCTTTGCATCACTTAGAGTTTGGTGTGTGCTATGTGGTATTGAAGTCTGGAATTCCACCAGTCTGACTGCACCAACCCCATCAAACCTTGCAATAAAACCAGTCCTGTGCAGTGGATGATAAATCCTTACCCATGGGGAGGGTGGTGGTGGTGTTTGAAATGAAATGATCTTTAAGGTTACTTCCAACCCAAACCATTCTATGATTGTCTCCTGAGTGCCTGGTGGGACTGCTTGAGGCAGTGGTATATTGTCCATATCTCTCTACCTTGGTTTGCCTTGCTTTGAAAATACCAACATAGCATTTGCTAGCAGTGCCTGTCCCCATTACCCATCTGCTCAGCTCTGTCACCTCCCATGGAGGGCTGGGAGCAGTGATGTCAACTTAGATGTGAGCTCAAGCACTGCTGCTGAGCCACGTGGCTGAGGTCACTGGAGCAGGGACAGGCTGTGCTGTGCCCTCGCACAGAGGACAGCATTTTCCCTGGTGAATCACAGAGCTGTTACATCCTAACAGAGACCTGCACCTGGTGTTTCAGGTGAAGTGGTGATCTCCTCTCCCTCTAACATGCACATCCTCACTTGGCTTTGGTGTGGGAAGAAGGCACTTGCATTGCCTTCAGTAACAGGGTTTGGTTTTCAGGTTTTTTTCCTATTTGCTTTCCTCAGTTCTTGTTTCTTTAGCGGGGGAGGATTACATTGGTAATATAAAATAACTGCTTGAATGAGATGAAGGCTGAATTTTCAGGGAACAAAACAGTCCAGTTTTGGAGATCTGACTTGGATTCTTATCGGGGTCGGGTTTGGGAGCTCTTGCTTATGCAAAGCAGCAGAAGTGGGTTGTTTCCATTTTGTTGCTGATGGGGCTGTCTTTGTCCAGCCGTGCCCTGGTGTACCCTAGCAGAGGCTAACTGCCTCTGGAGAAGAGCTGCTGTCAGAATACTTTAAAGTCGGTCAGACTGGCTCCTGCTTCGTGAGGTTTATCAGCAAAGATTTTCAGTGCCTCCGGTGGGAGGCTATTTTTATTCTATCCAGGGGCTACCTTCTGCTCTGAGGTCTTTATCACATTTTTTTTGGAATACAGAAACCTGCCTCTTTTAGGACAACCTTAAATATCTTCATCTTTTGCAGTCTGAAAAACTAGATAGCTTTTTATACAAGGTAAAAGTTTTTGCCATTTGTGTGACATGTTCAGATTTCTTTTGTTATTTTTTTTTACGATATAAGAGGGACACTGCCATAGACATGAGAATACCCTGTTTTCTTCCTTGAGCAGGGATGACTGCAAGTGAGATACCTAATGGTTCATCCTTCATGCTCTGATCAATGCTATGACTCTTGCAGAAAATCCACATTGTGTTTCATTGCACCATGTAATCAAGATTGGAAGAGCTCTCAAGAGATGATCTGGTTCATTTTCCTGCCCTATGGCAAAATCAGTCTTTACCTGTGTCTTTCTTGACAGATACTGGTCTGGGCACTTCTGAAAACTTCTGCAGCCTCTCCAGGCAGCATATTTCAGTGCCTCACAATCCTTACCAGTAAAAGTCCAGTTTCTCCCCACCTTGTATTTAACCTGAATCGTCTCTACTTGTCACTTCTTGTCCTATCTGTTTTGAATTCAAAGAACAGGTCGTTCCTTTTCACAGCTGTGTTAAATATTTGAAGACTATTCACGTGCTTTTCTCAATGTTAAACAACCACTATTTGTGAAATCATTCCTTATTCATGGTGGGTTTAAATCTTCTATGTAAACCTTAATTGGCCTGTCTTCTCAAAAAATCCTCTGTGACGATCCCAGTCATTAACTAATCCACAAACAGTTTAAACCCTTTGATCAGCATTTTATTTATATACTTTAGTAGAACTGTTCTGTGGCAGCCAAACTGCCTATTTGTACATCACTGTCTCTGACTTGATGGCTGTTGTGTGAGCCAAGTATCCACAGGGTTTTTTGCTGCTCCCGAACTGCAGTTCATTCCAAGGGAAAGGTTGGGTGTCTGGCATGATGTGAGGCTTGGTCTGATTTGTGCCGTGGTTCTGTGGGACAGTGCACTGTGAAGGTTGTGCCTTCAAATAGAAAGGGAGCCCAAAGAAAGACAAACGAGTCATGGAGTCATGGGTGTCTGCAGGCATCCAAAATATACATTGATGGACACAGGAATTTGGAAGTCGACATGTGCTCAGACAGGTGGTAGGCTGTGAAATGTCACTTGGTATTAGGACCTTCTGATGTAGCTGTATTTGAATAGTCAGGTCATGCTTGGAGGTCAACTGCGTTACTGTGATCTGGATGTCCTTGATGTGTGTGTTTTCTGCTCCAAGAAAAAGTCAAGGAAATTTAGCAGTACATATGGGGAGTGTGGAAGGCAGGTCATACTCCCTCTCAGTAATTTTCTCTGGATTTCTCTGTTGTAGGTGAGTGTTTTAACCACCTTGGAGCGACGATTCAACCTTCAGAGTGCTGATGTGGGCGTCATTGCCAGCAGCTTCGAGATTGGCAACCTGGCCCTCATCCTTTTCGTGAGCTACTTCGGGGCCCGAGGACACCGACCGCGCTTGATAGGATGTGGAGGGATAGTCATGGCCTTGGGTGCCCTCCTCTCCGCGTTGCCTGAATTTCTGACCCACCAGTATGAATACGAATCAGGAGAAATACGCTGGGGGGCTGAAGGGAGGGATGTGTGTGCTGTCAATGGGTCCACCAGTGATGAGGGACCAGACCCGGACCTTATCTGCAGGAATAGGACTGCTACCAACATGATGTACTTGCTGCTCATTGGAGCACAGGTCCTCCTGGGCATTGGTGCTACCCCTGTCCAGCCCCTGGGAGTTTCCTACATCGATGACCACGTGAAGCGGAAAGATTCCTCCCTGTACATAGGTAAGATCTTTGAACATCTCACTGAAGGCTTTCCAAGTGGGCTGGCATCTTGCTTTTGTTTCCTGTTTGATGCCAGTGGAAGGGATGCCTACAGGCCTCTTCTCCATGTGCTGCTGTGCTTGTGAAGGTAACTTGGCATGGGTCTCTAGATCAAGCAACAGGAAAACACAGTGATGTTTGCTCATTTTGTAGCAACGGTAAAGGTTGACAGCCATGGTGATTAATACTGGATAATTCTGAGATGCCACTCCTATTATGTTTTCCCAGATTGCTTTAAATTCTAATGTTGGTGGCTTATGGTTGAGTTTTAGTTGAAGAATTTGCAGGTGGTATGTGTGATGATGGATTTTTTTGTTCCCCCCAAAATTACCCCAGTTCTCTTCCTGTTCCAAAGCATATGTCTGAGTGATCACTGCAGTATAAGGAGACCAGGAGGACACACGTCTTGTCACTACCACTGTCAGACTTTAGCAAGGAAGTGGCTGTTAGGGAGTAGGTGCTGTGACCCAGAGTGCTGTGGCAGGACCCTCGATAATGTGATCCCTGTAACGGAATGGGATGCGGAAGCTGATGAGGTCTATTTTGAGATACAGTGAGCCTGAAGTAGAACTCATGGTTCTGGTGATCATGTTGCAAAATTCTTCCAGATGGTTAAGCTATGAAATTTGCCTTTGGTTACCCAATGAAACATCTCTGTTATTGAGGTAGAGTGCTCATGGGTTTCAGCAGCAGTTCCCCCTCCCAGCAGGTTTAAAGAGGATGTTGTGGGTGAAGTTGTTCTCTGAAAAAAACGTACCAGCTTGGCTCATTCTTCTTTCTGCAGGAGTTGTCACTAGATAAATGGCTGCAATGCAATAAATCAGTTAAGTGTGTGCTGCCATTAATGTGATCCTTCTGCACTTGTTGGTATAGTTTCTAGTAAGCAAAACTGTGCACTTGTCCCATCTTCCCTGTCTTGACATGACTTTCAGCTGAATGGATGATCCCATTACTGTTTGGGTGTCTTTTCAAAGACATTTTTATCCCAAGTGTAACTAAATGCAGCTGGGTATGGCCATTTACAGAAAAGCTGGCTTGGATGCAGTTCAGGGCCTTGGGATAGTGCAGAAACCTGTTGGAAGTTCGCTCCACACATGCTATAGCATTCCTGGATGTATTTCTTCATCACTTAGGGGTTCATTTACATATTCAAAGTGTGTCCATGTTTTTCTGAAACTGCCATAAAATCATAGTATTTAAGCATTTAGCTTTGTCCTTGGATCATTTTTCACCTTCGCTTGGTTTGGTAAGTGCTTGTGAGGAATCCACTGGATAAAGAAAGATGATATATAAAATATAAGGTACTGTACAACCGGAAGGTGAATAATGAGACTAAATTCACTGGAGCAACTGTGCCAAGACCATAAATAATGAGCTGGAATTAAGAGTGATTCTAAGATTATCTATTATAAATAACTATATAGAGGAGCAGCAACTTCTTTCAGTCTGTTCCATGGGCATTTTTAAAGCAATGCTTCATGTCTGAGAACAGGCTGGAGGAGGGTGCATGAGAGGAGGATTAGGAAGAGTGATTCTTTTTGTTCCTGAGATACATTCATCTCGTATGCTAAAATAACATCTTTAAAGTTGGCAGTTCAACTGTAGCTGAGAAAATACTGCCAGAAAATGATTTCTGCTTACTATATGTGGCTTTATTATTTTTCCTTCCTTTTTGTTTCTAACCATGTTCCTTTCTACATGTAGAATTTAAAAAGAAACAATCAGACATTTTTGGGTTGTTTGCTTTCTGGCTTTAGCTATGAAAATTGTAATTTGAATTTCCAGTTATGAATTATGGATTGCAGAAGAGTGTGTGTGTGTGTATACACATTCAGCCAGCAGTGAAGTTTAATATCTGTCCTGTCCCAGACTATCCATCACAAGTAGGGTTTCAGATATTGGATGATTAATTCTTACATCAACCTGCAATCAATTTGGCTAGTAAAAATAAAAGCTAACAGGAAAAAAATCTATTCTGTGAATGAATATAAATGGAGAAGAAGCTAGTGGAAATGTCATCTTATGTTTGTGGATACTTGAGAGGAAGTCAAATTCCTCAGTTTAAATGTTGTTTGAGAATTATGTGCTCAGATTTGTCTTTAACTGATTATTTTTGTTGGTGTTATCAATGCAGTTTTCAGTGGCCTTAACAGAAAGCTGGCTGAGCAGCTTGCCCACTTCATTCTGCTGTTTTGCAGAGGAAATAACTGCAGAGTGGATACTGTCACTGTGCTATATTTATATCAGTTTGCTTTCTCATAATAGCACACTCACTCAGTGGGGGCTATGCTGTGTGTGACCAGATAAAACATTTTTGGGTAAGTTCCCTCAGTTGAAATTAGGAGCAAAGCTGGCATAGATTGTTCTCTCAGGATAGAAACCAATTAATAAGTGGTAATGGTCTGGCTGAACTTTCTATAATGACTGCAGCTGAGAAATGATCAGATTGACCAGTTAGTGCTGTCTTTAGTATATTGCTTATATCGAGTATGTATGTGCTGCATTTGGACTATATTGTACCTGGGGGAAAGAAGCAGTGTCTCACCTGACAGCTAAGGACTAGTCATTGTTCACCTCTACAATAAAAACTCTCTTGTGTCCCAAGGCAGGGAATTAGATACGAATAACTCTGTGCACTGAGGTTTTTTTTTCCTTTGGAGTTGCACAAGACTTAAGTGAAGTAACAATAAATATCTCATACAGTCTCTTTGCAGTGAAGTGACAATACAGGAAGACTCCTCTGGTTAGAAAAAAACCCCAAAACCCAAGAACACCACCTACAAACTTTCTTCTTTTTGTATTGGTATGTGTGTGCAGAAGAATGCAGATGTGATACCTTATAGAATTTAAAGTGATGGTTTGACTTTAATTGCTAGTGCAAGTAATAGCATCTGTGGAGTGTAATATATTTCTGGCTATGAAGTCTATCAACTCTGTGGTTTCTCTGCAGTGACAAGCATATAGTAGGTGGTGGGCAGTGCACCTCTGCTGTGCATCCTTTGAAGGCAGAGGTTGCTTAGGCTTGCCAAGGAGGTGGAGATCCTTGGAGTTTCATAATTAGAGAGACAAGGGTGAGATATTACAGGAAGATTCCTCCGTGGCTGCTGACTTGTAGTTTCACATTTCTTGAGCTAATAGCAGGTTTTTTGGTGCCTGCTATGTGTTGCTACCAAACTCAAACAGATTCTGTTGCTGTAGTAACAAGCCCTAAGGAAAAAAAATGGCTGTGTTGTGGTAACCCAGGGCAAATCAAATCAGGGAGATGATGCATGTGTGAAAGTAGTCGCCAAAGGATGTTCTAAAGAGAACACATTTGTGCCGTAACAGAGTTAGAAAGATTGCAGGACCATGCCTGCTCCAGCTAATCATAGAATGGCTTAGGTTGGAAGTGACCTCAAAGATCATCCAGCTCCAACCCCACCACCATGGGCAGGGACACCTTTCACTAGATGGTCAAGTGAAACCTAATGATGGGGAATACATTTTCCTCCCATTTCAGCCTCTGAGCACCTGCTTAACAGAAAGGTGTTAAAGTTGGCAATAGCAGCCAAAAGATTAAAAAATAAAAGAATTTTCTTAGCTGCTTGAAGTTGGGAAAAATCTTCTGGTTTGGTGCTGGTTTTCTTGCTTCTCTCTGGGTCCAATTTTGTGTTTAAGATCTGAGCTCCCATCTAGGGGTTTCCAAACAAGCAGTTTAATTTTACATGTGTACTTATTGGCATTTGGCATAGGTAACCCCTTTGAGTGGAGGAATTCATCACTCATGCAGACTGTACAGAGCTTGTTACTGCTCCAGCTTCACTAATGTTAAAGGATTCCCTCAATGTGTAGCATCATTTATTTTAAAGGAGGAAACATCTGAAGACTACTTACTACACAATTCCTTTCTCTACCCTTTAATGACTTACATGACATTTCCCTCTTCAGTTTGTTTTCTGCTCAGTGTTGCTGAGTTCTGTTGAAATCAATGAAGACTTTGCCATTAGGAGGGGGGGTCAGAGACATTGTGGGGCTCATACAAAGAAGGGAAGAAACTCTCATCTGGCAGTGGTTGTATGGATTTGCTGCCTGTGAGATGAGCAAGAGCTTGCAAGTGTTTTCTGGTCACTGGAGTTCCTGAGCTGCTCTCGGCAGTGGTTTGTGTGTTCCATTGAGCCAGTGCAGTGATGTGGTAGGTTAATGTTATTGGCAGTTCTGATATACTCTTTTTGTCCTTCCTGCTGCATTTAACATTTGCTAATAAAAGTTGTTGCATCTTGTCTAGGACATGGTTACCTATAGAGCACAATGAATAGCCTCTGGAAGCCAGTATTTGATCCGGGACAATTAAGGGCTACATTATAAAGAGGAAATTGCTATTATTCTGTCTCCTGTTGGTGGAGGAAATTGATATTGATATTGGAAGGAGCACTGCCAGATTGCAGGGCTTGTTCAGAAGAATGCTGTGTTGATCTTTAATGCATCAGAGATTCTCTTTATGTTTGTTGAAGCTGTCTCTGTGTTTGACATTGTAGACACATACCCCATGCGTTCAGGATCCATCACTTGAGACTCCTTGCTGACTTGCAGAAACTGCTGTAACATGAGGAATGACTTCCAGGAGATCCTAGAAGGAACAAGTCTTTGGTCAAGGAGTAAGTGAGGAGGAGTGATGAGTGCCCCTGAGTTATTGATGTGCAAGGGTTTGCCTGAGTGTAGTGTGCTCAGGGACATAAAGCTGTTCTTTACCTGCTTTGTGGCAGGGCAGAGAAATGGCAAATGGATAACTCAGCTCTTCTGGATGTGGCTGTTTACCTGCTTTCTTCTGTCTTGTCTCCCAGGCTTCTGTCTGGCCTTTTCTGTGTGTATTTTGGTTTATTATATAGCTGTTTCAGCTGTTACCCTTGGTGTAAGAGGAGAACTCATCAGGATGATGGTGTGTTCTTTTCACAGTTGCCCAGGTGGGACTAAACTAGTAAGGG